CCCCCCTCCCTCCGTCCATCCATCCATCCATCCATCCATCTGTCCATCCATCATCTGGTGTCCACCCATCCATCCACCCATCCATCCGTCCATCCATCCGTCCATCCATCCGTCCATCCGTTCACCCACCCATCCATTCCTCTTCCCTTGCCATCCATGCATCAATCTACCTACCCTTTCTCCTAACTTTCTGTCCTTCCCTCCCTCCACCTTTCTGTCCATTCAATCGCCCCTTCACCTTTCGGTCTACCCATGCCTATTCCCTACTGTCTTTCCACCCACCCCAGCCCTCCAACATTTTATCCTTTTCCTGAAAATTTCTTCCAAGAAATTCCTTGCTTAGTACCGTCTGGATCCAGATGTGCTGGAGGACGTGTGCTCCTCATGGTAGCTTCTGGACCAGGTTCGGCTCCAGGATGTGTGCTCCATGTGGTAACATCTGGACTCAGTTCTGCTGGAGGATGTGTGCTCCTCATGGTACCATCTGGACCTGGTTCTGCTGCAGGACGTGTGCTCCTCAGGGTATCATCTAGACTGAAATCTGCTAAAGAACCTGTGCCCCATGTGGTACCATCTGCATGCAGTTCTGCTGAAGGACGTGCATACAGTGTGGCACCACTGGGACCAGGTTCTGCTGTGGGATGTGCACTCCACGTGGTATCATCCAGACCCATTTCTGCTGAAGAACGCGTGCTCCGCATCGTACCATCTGGATCCAGTTTCGCTGGAGGATGTGTGCTCCTCATGGTACCTTCTGGACCTGGTTCGGCTGCAGGATGTGTGCTCCATGTGGTACCATCTGAATCTAGTTCCAGTGAAGGACGTGTGCTCCCCTGGTTCTGCTGCAGGATGTGTGCTCCGTATGGTACCATCTGGAACCAGTTGCACTGAAGGACGTGTGCTCCTCATGGTACCTTCTGGATCTGGTTCTGCTGCAGAACGTGTACTACTCATGGTACCTTCAGGGCCTGGTTCTGCTGCAGGACGTGTGCTCCTCAGGGTATCACCTAGACCAAAATCTGCTGAAGAACGTGTCGTCCATTTGGTACCATCTGCATCCAGTTCTGCTGGAAGACGTGTGCTCTTCATGGTACCTTCAGGACCTGGTTCTCCCAGGTTCTGGTTACTCCACATGATATCACCTGCTGGGACTACCATGGTGGGGGCCAAGTCCTGCCTTGCTTTGGGCCTGGTGCCTTGCGTGGTACCAACTGGATCCTGCCCTACTTTGGCTTGAGTGGCATCAATGGGTTCCTGTCCTGCCGGCCGTTGGGTGAACAGGATGGCAACTGCCACATCCTGTCCTGGTCGCGGTTGGGTGGCACCAACTGGATTCTGCCCTGCCTTGGGCTTGGTACCTTGCATGGTCCCAGCCAAATCCTGTCCTGGTGGTTTCCTGGTGGTCTGGTTGGCACCTGCCAGAATTTTTCCAACTTTGGGCTGGGTGATCCGTACGGTACCGGTTGGATCCCGCCCTGCTTTGGGCCAGGTGACGTGGATGGTACTGACTGGATCCTGTCCTGTCTTGGACCTGTTGGTGCCAGCTGGATGCCATCCTGCTTTGGACCTGTTGGTTCCCACTGGATCCTGTCCTGTCTTGGACCTGTTGGTGCCAGCTGGATGCCATCCTGCTTTGGACCTGTTGGTTCCCACTGGATCCTGTCCTGTCTTGGACCTGTTGGTGCCAGCTGGATGCCATCCTGACTGACTGGATCCTGTCCTGTCTTGGACCTGTTGGTGCCAGCTGGATGCCATCCTGCTTTGGACCTGTTGGTTCCCACTGGATCCTGTCCTGTCTTGGACCTGTTGGTGCCAGCTGGATGCCATCCTGCTTTGGACCTGTTGGTTCCCACTGGATCCTGTCCTGTCTTGGACCTGTTGGTGCCAGCTGGATGCCATCCTGCTTTGGACCTGTTGATTCCCACTGGATCCCGTCCTGTCTTGGACCTGTTGGTGCCTGCTGGATGCCATCCTGCCTTGGACCTGTTGGTGCCAGCTGGGTCCCATCCTACCTTGGACCTAGTGGTACCAGCTGGATCCCGTCCCACTTTAGACCTGGTGGCACCAGCTGGATCCCGTCCTGCCTTGGGCTTGGTGCTCTGGATGATGCCGGCCAGATCCTGTTCTGCTTTGAGTCGGGTGATCCTGATGGTACGAATGGGGTCTCGCCCTGCTTTGGCTTGGGTGGCACTGATTCGACCCTGTCCTGCGGGGTGCTGTGTGCTGGGGCTGGCAAGTTGCAGCCCCCATCGTGTGGGGTGCTGGGTGCTGGGGGTTGCACCAGTTGCAGCCCATCGTGTGGGGTGCTGGGTGCCGGGGATGGTGCTGGCCAGACCCTGTCCTGCAGGGTGCTGGGTGCTGCTGGTCGGTGGAGAGGTCCCCATTGGTGACAGCAGATCCCCTTGCCCTGCAGCAACGAGAGGGTCGCTCAGCCCAGCTCTGGGGGGGCACCCAGGGCCAGAGGCGGCGGCATCCCTTGGAGACAGGGTCCCTGGAACATGGGGAGGGACCCCAGCAGGCAGGGAAGGTGCATGGGGGGGGGTGTCCATGCCCCTCAAACCTGCTCTGGCCCCCAGCCCTGCAGCCAGGCCAGGGTGGCAAAACATGGGGTCCTGCACTGCAACCAGCCACCCGCCAGCTCCCTGGGACCCTGCACAGGGGGATGGGGACCCCCACGCTCGCTCCTCCTACCCTTGCGGGCTGTCCTTGTGGCGGGCTGGCTGGCTGCGGTGCTCCGGGGAGAGCTGGGGACACGGGGGCGTGCAGAGGGGGGCACCCAGGCCGGCTTCATCTGCGTCTGGCGGGGAGTGGGCTCTGCAGGGCGGACATCCAGGGTGGCCAGCTCATCTGTGGGCAGAGACCAGCGTGAGCCCTGCAGTGCGCGCACTGCACGTGCACTGCACACACGCTGCGCCCTGCCCACGCACAGACTGCCCACACGCACTGTGCCCTGCCCATGCACACACTGCACAGACTCGGTGTCCCCGTGCACTGCACACACGCACTGCACCCTGCCCACATGCACTGCACCCTGCCCACACACACTGCACAGACTGTGTCGCCCTGCACTGCACCCTGCCCACACACACACTGCACAGACTCCGTGTCCCCGTGCACTGCACACATGCACTGCACCCTGCCCACACACACTGCACAGACTGTGTCGCCGTGCACTGCACACACGCACTGCACCCTGCCCACACACACTGCACAGACTGTGTCGCCCTGCACTGCACCCTGCCCACACACACACTGCACAGATTCCGTGTCGCCGTGCACTGCACACATGCACTGCACCCTGCCCACACGCACTGTGCCCTGCCCATGCACACACTGCACAGACTCGGTGTCCCCGTGCACTGCACACACGCACTGCACCCTGCCCACACGCACTGTGCCCTGCCCATGCACACACTGCACAGACTCGGTGTCCCCGTGCACTGCACACACGCACTGCGCCCTGCCCACGCACACACACACTGCACAGACTCCGTGTCCCCGTGCACTGCACACACGCACTGCACCCTGCCCACACACGCTGCACAGACTCCGTGTCCCCGTGCACTGCACACATGCACTGCACCCTGCCCACACACACTGCACAGACTGTGTCGCCGTGCACTGCACACACGCACTGCGCCCTGCCCACGCACACACACACTGCACAGACTCCGTGTCCCCGTGCACTGCACACATGCACTGCACCCTGCCCACACACACTGCACAGACTCCGTGTCCCCGTGCACTGCACACATGCACTGCACCCTGCCCACACGCACTGTGCCCTGCCCATGCACACACTGCACAGACTCGGTGTCCCCGTGCACTGCACACACGCACTGCACCCTGCCCACACACACTGCACAGACTCCGTGTCCCCGTGCACTGCACACATGCACTGCACCCTGCCCACACACACACTGCACAGATTCCGTGTCGCCGTGCACTGCACACACGCACTGCACCCTGCCCACACGCACTGTGCCCTGCCCATGCACACACTGCACAGACTCGGTGTCCCCATGCACTGCACACACGCACTGCACCCTGCCCACATGCACTGCACCCTGCCCACACACACTGCACAGACTGTGTCGCCGTGCACTGCACACACGCACTGCGCCCTGCCCACGCACACACACACTGCACAGACTCGGTGTCCCCATGCACTGCACACACGCACTGCACCCTGCCCACACACACTGCACAGACTCCGTGTCCCCATGCACTGCACACACGCACTGCACCCTGCCCACACACACACTGCACAGATTCCGTGTCGCCGTGCACTGCACACATGCACTGCACCCTGCCCACACGCACTGTGCCCTGCCCATGCACACACTGCACAGACTCGGTGTCCCCGTGCACTGCACACACGCACTGCACCCTGCCCACGCACACACTGCACGTACACTGTACCCTCACTGCTGCTGCTTGCGGCACGGCTGTGCTGCACCCTGCGGACCACGCATCCATGAGGTTTGCAATCCAGCTGCGGCGTCCCCGTGCCCACCCACTGCCCCAAGACCACTGCACAGGTACGAGGGACTGTGCGCCCACTGCATCACCCCTGTGGGGGCATGACCCCCAGGCCCCCGCATCGCGGATACCTGCGCAGACAACGGCGGCATCCTCCCGGTGCTGGCAGTTGGTGACACCCCAGGGGGAAGCCGGGCACCCCAGCAGGGACAACTCGTTCCCCTGGCACCGCACATCGTCCAGCCAGATGGGCCCGGTGCCCTCACCAAAAAAAGCTGCCTGGGGTGCGTCGAGGGCGGCCCCACAGCCCAGCTGACGGCAGACCACCTCTGCGTCTGGCAGCCCCCACAGGTCATCGCAGACAGTGCCCCAGTGCCCGGCGTGGAAGATCTCCAGCCGGCCGGCGCAGCGCCCTGTGGCCCCCACCAGCCGCACAGTGGGACCCCCTGGGAGAGAGGCTGGGGTCAGCGCCAGCACGGGCCCCTGGGACCCATGGGTGGGGGGGTACCTGTGCACACCGTGCCCGTGCATACCCTACCTGTGCATGGGTATGTGTGCCTGGGCACACTGTAGCTGTGCACACCGTACCAGAGCGCGAGG